AAGCTGAAGCCGCAACCCCTCCTCGCCTCTCTCCAGGAGATTCATAGATAGCCAGGGATGCAAACTACTTATTTAATTCAAGCCGCTAGTTCTACAGGAGCTAGGGGAGAAGTCGAGCAACGCCACACTGCTGGCCCCAGGAGCAGGTAAGGCCCCAGGTTCCCCAGCAGGGACCCTCCCTCTCTTGGTTGGGGAGGTTTGCCTCACCCTTTACTCTTGTGCCTAACACAGAAGAAATGAGCAGAAAGGTTTTGTTTGTTTTGGGGTGGGTCGGGGAGGACTCAAGCGCCAACTCCTGAAGCAACCGGAGCTCAGCGGGTGCATTAGTGCCCGGGGGGCCCGGGCCCAGCAGCGGGAAGCGCCCTGACTCCAGGCTCTCCCCCTGGGCTGTAAGAGTCCTGAGCCCCTGGACCTCCCTCTCGGAGCGGCCTTTGTCATCTGCATTGCCGACGCCCTCTGAGCCGCGGAGCGGACTGAGAACCCCCCTACACCCCAAAGTCTCGGCTTTTCAGGGCGTCAGGGACGCGGCCCGAACGTCACTCCCACGTACCTTCGTACCCTAGGCTTGGACTCCAATGTAAGCTTTCTGATCAGCCCCGGCCCCTGCCATTGGCTTTAGCCTCTGGTCACCTGACTTACTCAAGCCAATGAGAGGTGACAGAATTAATACTTCCGCTTTCAGTGCATCCAGTGAACCACGGTGTCCGCCTTTCGGATGCTATGATTGGCCAGCTTCTCTCAGCTCGCCAGTTTATTGGCCAGGGCCGCGAAGCCAGTCCTCGGGGTTCGAGGGCTTCTGTGTCAGATATGGCGTCTTATTTCGACGAACACGACTGTGAGCCGTCGGACCCCGAGCCGGAGGGAGGAATCAGCTTCCTGATGGCGATGGCGAGGTGAACGCGCGAGTCTGGGAGGTGGGGCCAGGCACGGGTTTCTGAGTTGCGGCTGGCTGGAGAAGGCGGATTACCTGGGGCAGCAGATTCTGGGGAGGACGGATGCTGACTGTTCTGGAGAGTTAGTCCGGAGACTAGATTTGAAGGGAAAGTCGATAATTTGGGTCGTCCGTGGCCCCCCCCGGCTAAGGGGATTCTGGAAAAGACTGGAGCTGAATGGAGTAGGGGAAGTCTGTGGCGGGAGGGCTGCGGGCTCAGGGAAAAGGTGAGCGAGCCGTGGGGGCGGGGTAGGGGCAGTGTAGGTGTGAGTAGGTACGTTGGTTAAAAACACCGGACACGCCGACACTGCCACCTGCACTCTGGCGTTACCAGGTCAGTCTTGCGTGGCCTGAGTAAGTTCTCTGAGCCTGTTGCCTCATATGTAAAATGGGAATAAACAGCCTGCGTGCTTGGGGTTGTGATAGGAGCTGTAAACCATTTCCCGTTCTGCTTTTAGTCTGGTGAGCACTACTGACGGGTAGCTATTATTACTACCAGCTGGACAGGGCAGTTACCTATTGATGCTGAGTGAACTGTGCAGGCAAAGAGAAAGTATGGTTTTCTGACCTTGCGTCCTTCTTCCCAGGTCACTTTTCAACAGAATGGACTTGGGGTTGGTAGTAGATTGGGATCACCACCTGCCTCCACCTGCAGCCAAGACTGTGGTTGAAAACCTCCCCAGGACAGTCATCAGGGGCTCTCAGTCTGGTGAGAACACGGATTCTTTCTGCTCTTTGGGGCAGGCCTGCGAGACTGTGGACTGGCCCTTCAGTTTTCCAGGCCAGGTTGGGGCAAGTATACTTTAGGAGTGGGAGCTGGGGCTGTAGCAGCTCTCCTAATCAGCACTCCCTCCTAAAGAGCTCAAGTGCCCTGTATGCCTTTTGGAATTCGAGGAGGAGGAGACTGCCATTGAGATGCCTTGCCGTCATTTCTTCCATTCCAACTGCATTCTGCCCTGGCTAAGCAAGGTACTGCTCACCCTGCCCAGTTCTCAAGCCCCTTTCTTTTTATAAACTGTTGGGGTAATCAGAGAAGGAAGAAGGATCAAGGTGAGAATTGGGAGAAGGGGATGGATATTAGCTTATAAAGACCAGACCTGGGCTGGAACACTGCCATGCTTTTCCCAGACAAATTCCTGCCCCCTCTGCCGCCATGAACTGCCCACTGATGATGATACTTACGAGGAGCACAGACGAGATAAGGTAGGAGCTGGTGGGAAGTGGAGGGGGTGGTAATGGCACTCCCTCAGGCTGTCCTTGATGCTCTCATCTCCCAACTTAGCAAACCTAGGTAGGCCTCAGGTCCCAGCTCTGGCTGTGTTCCCAGTAACTTTGGTGAGGGGCAACACAGATGCCAGGGGCCTGAAAAGTGTGAGCCAGTTCCTTGTTAGCTGCCCCATTCACCCACAGGCCTTCAGATATGGCCCCCTATCTTTTTCCTTCAGGCTCGAAAGCAGCAGGAGAAGTACCGACTGGAGAGCCTACATGGAGCCATGTTTACATGAGGCAGCTGGGCTGAGCACTGGTTCTCCACAACGTCTTCCTCTTGCACCTCAAATCCTCATTAAAGGTTTCTTTACCCACCCTATGACTGCATTGCTTACAGGCCTGGGCATGGGTGCTGCCCCTTCCACTAGGGCCCTGCTGCTATTGGGGAAGGTGGGTCTGGACTACAGAAGGCACCAGGCTGCTTATCCTTCCCTGCCAAGCCTGCTGGCTTGAGGGCAGTGGAGCCCAGGTCAAAAAACTGGCCACTGGACCAGTCAGGGCTTGGGACTATGTGTTCGTGGCGGGAAAGCAAAATATGTCATGGTCTAGCACCCAGAAGATAGTTAAAGATGCATCCCTTTGCCCCTGTAATTTTCAGTCAACTTTAAAATTCCAGGCACTTTTTTTTTTGTTTCTAACATTTTAAAGCTGCTCTTTACATGCCTCCTACCCCCATCCCCTTATACTAAGGAATCAAACTTCAAACTAGACTCTGAGCGGGGGAAGGAAGTGTGAAATTATCAGATCAGTCAGTTCTTTAGCCCAAAAAGGGCTGCAGGCCCTTGAGGAATATGTGGCTAGTACATGTTATCCTTTTGTCGTGGCAGCCCTGGTCTCAGAGAGCACTGGGCACTGAGGACTCTCCCAAGGGGCATTCTTTGCTTACGGAAGTTGACCTGAATCAGGCCCTCTGACTCTCTAAAACAGACTACAAACATGCAAATTAGAATTCTTTTAATAGATATATATAAAAAATGTACTAAAATACCCACATGGTTCTGCTGTGTTATTTGCCCTAAAGAAAGTAAGGGGCAGAGTGAAGAATCCTAGTGCAATTCAGTGGGCCCAAAAGTGGGCCTTTCCACAGACTAAGGCATGTTCACCCTCCCCACCCCCCGCCGCCACCATTTCTATCCCTCTTGCTGTTCCCAGCCCCCAATTCCTGCAGCAGGAAACCCCAGTGGTCTGGCCTTAGCACTGGGGAATAAAGGCACCTGAAGGGTTGGCTGGGTGACTGAGGATATGTGACCTTGAAACAGAAACAACACTGTAGAGTGGGGAGTGGGTCATGCACAGCTCAGGGAGCTGCCAGGGCCCGCTCCTCTATGGCACAGGTGGATTTGGGATGGCCGTTCCTCCAGGAGCAAGGAATCCTATATCCCAACAGAATACTTTCTCAAAATTGTTTTTGGTACAAAATAAATCAAAGAAGACATGGGGTGGGGAGTAGTGGAGGCTGGGCCAGCTACCCTCCCCAGACCTCAGATCATGGCAATGCTCTCAGGGGCACAGTTGAGGTGAGTGGAGGTGCTACTGCTCCCGGAGGACTTGCAGGCCCGGCCAGCAGGCTGCAGTGCAGCCACCAGTGTCTCTGAGGAGACTGCCCCAAACTCGTAGCAGAAGGTGCCGTAGAAAATGAGGATGTCGATGACAAACACCCACTCACACAGGGCTGCCCCGTGCTGCAGCTGAGAACTCTCATGGATGAAGAAGACACCACCTGGAATGGGGCTAAGGAAATGTTCAGTAGGATGTGTGGGAGACTGGAGACACACCTGCCTTCCGGGATATATAATGAGGAGGGAATGGGAGACCACATTGCGCACTGTTATCTGGAAAATGTGCCAATCTCCCTCATCTTGGGTGAGAGAAGGGCTGGACTAGAGGAGTTCCTGGCTGCCCTATCCTGGAAGGATACTGAGGATCAGGACGACAAAGGCGATGGCTGCCAGCACAATCCGCAGGTAGGCCATAGCCAGGTCCTGGGGGGCGGTGGCCCCATGGTAGGAAAGAACACAGTGCAGGCAGACAAACAGCAACCCGGCAGGGAAGGCCACACCAGCTCCGATGTAATGCAGAGACTTAGCATGATCCACCTGGGCTCAGAGAGGTGCTGATCAGTGAAGCAGCCCTGCTCATTCCCCCCACTTCACACCTCTTTGTCCTTCTTCCTCCCTTTTCTTTACCCCGTTCTCTTTCCAGGCCCTCCTTCCCCACCCCCAACCTTGAGGGGCTGCCCCTGAAGCTTGGGTCAACCCTCAGGTGACTGAGGGTCCCTGCAGACAGCCATGCCCTTTTAGGGGAAGTTCAAGAGGTGAGTATGTGGGTATACCTGAAAGTTTCCAACCACCATGAGACCTGCAGCATTGGTGCAGCCTGTGATGAGTGTTGTGGTGTTAATCCAGGAATGCCGACTCTGCTCCAGGAGCTGCCCGTAGAGCAGGAGGCAGAGCAGGGCCACTGGGGAAGAAAAGCATGGGTGGAGCCAGCATTAGTGCCTTGCTCTGGCCCAGCCCTGCCCAGGAACCCACTAGCTCTCACCCCTCCAGACACTCTGAGGGCCAGAAGGGAATAGATGGGTGGGTGGTGAACTGGGTTTCCTCAGGCTCCACCCAGCAGGGTGGCTGTGTGGGAGTCAGCCTCTGGCCTTCAAGGAACAGGGAGAGAAGTGGTCCCTCTTGCTTTAGCCCTTGGTTGGGTAGGCTGTGTTGAACAAAGGCTTACTTGGGGGTGGGGTGGGGGTGGGCTGGACTGGGCTGGCAAGGGGGACTAAGGGCACAACTCACCCATGAAAGCACCCACGTTGCCAATGAGGCTGAAGAGGCAACTCTCTGGGGGATATGTGCCGCACTTGCTGAGGGGAGGGGGGCAAGGACAAAGTGAGAAGGGCAGGAGCACCAGAGGGCCCCCATTCTGGCCCACTTGCCTTCTCTTGCTTTATCTGTGCCCAATTTTAGCCACTGATTTATGAGAAGGACCAGTGTCACAAACAACTGGTCCCATCTGGTACCCCCTCCCCTACAAAAAAAAAGGAGAGCTCATGTGTGTGACAGGTTAGGGAATGCCCAGGATTGCTCAGCAGACCCTGAGACTCCTTGGACTCCTCAAGACTGTCAAGGCCTGTAGCTGGTCTGGCTTTCCCTGAGCCAGAACTTGGGTGGGCAATCAGGGGGCTTGAACGTTAGGTATCTCCACTACCTAGCTGTGTGACCTAAATGGATGACATAACTCAGTTTCAGTTTCCTTACCTATAAAATAGTGAAAACAATAGCTGCCTCAACGCTGGGAGAATTAAATGACATTATGAATGTAAAGTGTTCAGCACAGTGCCTGGCACATAGTAATTGGCAAGTAGTACTGTTATTAAGTGCTCTTAATATTATCATTCCTGTGAGATCCTTTGGGATAGGCCTTTGCTTGAGGGCCTTGGGTCTCCTTGATCTGCCCAGTTTCCAGGCCTTACCTAATGAGGGGGACATCATCCAAGGTGCAGCAACTCTTGGGACCCCCTTGCTCAGTGGGGTCAGGAGAGCAGGACTCGTTGTAGGACCTGGAGGGCAGGACAGAGTAGATTGAGGGAAAGGGGTTCCCCTAACCCCTTGGCCTATACTTCAGGCCTCTCAGAGACCACCTTCCCAGACCTCCCTTACAGGGGCAGGAGAGACCACTTCCCAAGGCCCTCCTGAGACAGAAGCCAAAGGGGCGAAGGGATGGTGGAAAGCAGGTAAGTGGGCACAAAGCCATGCCTGGGGAGGGGCAGGTGCACCAATGTCAGAGAAGAGCAGTGAGGCCCAGGGTCTCCGTCTGGCTCGCAGCAGCCCCGGCCCAAGAGGGAACAGAGATGAAGGGAGCTTTAGAGTGAAGCTGTCTGCAGAGTGCGCCATACCAGTTCTCCACAGGGCACACGTGGCGGTTCATCACGGCCATGGCATACCTGTGGGAACAGAGCTGTCACCTCATGACCCTCCCAGCCCAGCCCAGCCTTCCCCCACTGACTATTCTCTTCTCCCTTCATTCTGGCCCCATTCAGCCTCATTGTCCCTGCTAGGGTCTCAAGTTGGGGTGGCCCTGAGGCCTGACGCCACACCAGAACCCACAGCAATGGCTACAAACTAGAGGACCTCTGGAAGTTGCCATGGCTGGAAGTATGGCAGCAGGGCCACCTTGCTCGATAGCAGTGGTGCCAGCTTGTCCTAAGGGACTGTGTGCCCAGGCACACAGCCAGAGTGTGCCAGCCAGAGTGACAGAGGCTATTGCCATGGGGCCTGCAACAGGACAAGGGACTTTGTGTGTGCCATCAAGCTCCTGTTGGGTCCTGGCTGGACCCTGTCCCTCAGCCTGGTTCTCTCCTAGGTGTCTTCCCCCCTCCTCTTTACTCACACAGTCCATAGGCCAGTGATGGAGAATGCTGATAAGCTGACAGGAAGGAGGATCCAGGCGGTCATGAGGGAAGGGAGCCAGGGTGGTAGTGGTGTGGGAGGGATGGCAAGAGGTAGATGAGGGAGAGGGGGCAGGCCCAGCTACCTTAAGATACTTCTCCAAAACCATCAACTGCCCCGGCCTGGTGGAAAGAGACGGGTCAAAGTCCAGGGTCCAGTAAGTGGTTAAAGCCAGGGGCAGGGGAAGGAAGGCAGTCATCACCTGATTCGGAGCTCCCGCCAGGGCTCGGAGTGCCCATACTTTGGGCTCAGCCCACGCCAGAACGTGGCCACCCTCTGGCACCCACCGGGGGCCTCCGCGTCCCACCCAAATGCCACCGGCTTGCTCAGAGGTTTCGGCGGCGCCATAACATCTGGACAGGGAATCAATCTCTTTCGCCTGAGGGAGCGGGGCTGGGAGCCACGCTGCAGTTAGGTCGGTCAAGGGGCCAAGCCAAAGAAAGCCCGGAGTGGGTCCCGGCCCGTGGAAGGGCGGCCACATGCAGGCAACCACGCGACCAACGCGCCCGGGGGAAGGGGGGTTCAAGCGGGAAGCTCAGCCCGGCCCCCGCCCGCGTGGGCGTCTGGAGCCCGCGTCCCGCGAGCCCCCGGGCCCGGGGCACGAGCCTCCTTCGGTGGTCCCTGGAGGGTCCTGGGAAGTAAGGGGCCCGGTACGCACCTCCCGGAGCGCCCTGCGACTGCGGCGCACTATCCAGCCCCGCGTGGCGCCGTCCCCGGCTGCGGCCCTCTGAGCGGCCCTGCAGGTTTAAAGGGCCGTCGGCCACGCCCTCGCCCCAGGCCGCGCCGCGCTGCCCGCCGGGACCTGGAGTCCGCGACGCCGGGGCCCTGGGGCTCGCGCTCCTCTCAGGACTACAACTCCCGAGGCCCCGTGCTGAGTCCCGGTGGAACGGGGGTGGCGCCCCAGCTTCGGGAGCCTGGGCGTGAGCGCAGAGGTGTGGGACCCCAGTCCAGCTCTGCCTCAGAGATGCGGTAAAGATAGTCCTGTTGCCCCTGTTCCTGCCGTGGGAGCATCGGGAGGCTGGAAGCTGGGGGCTGCACCTCCTTCCAGTTCCACCTGTGACCCTCATCGTGCACGTGGCTGGAGGAAGCCTACCTCAGCCGCAGGGCACATTCCGCTGCAGGGACGGGCGGACAAGTGAGAGTTCTGGGTCACCTCCCTCAACGCGGCGCCCCGTGCCTGCCTCTGTCCCAGGCAAGGTGGTCCGCAGAGAAGCCTTAGCTGCCCATCAAATTAAAGCGCCCTGGATTTGGCTTATGCTTCCCTCGACTCAGCAAACTCTGGAGGATGCTACTTTAAACGAAAACTTTTTTTTTTTTTTTTTTAAGATATATCTTTATTGATTTCAGAGAGAGGAAGGGAGAGGGGGAGAGAGAGATAGAAACATCAATGATGAGAGTGTCGTCATTGATCGGCTGCCTCCTGCGCGCCCCCGACTGGGGATCGAGCCCACAACCCAGCCATGTGCCCTGACCGGGAATCAAACCAAGGTCTCCTGGATCCTACCTAGGTCGATGCTCAACCGGGCTCACCAGATGCATTTTTAAGGGTACAACCACACAGAGTACTACTGTCCAGAAGTCAGTGTCCAAAACATGTTACCTGACTGCTCAACACTTAACTTGAAACAAGGCAGCAAAACACACGTGGCCAGGTGTTGGTAGGCAACAGAGGAAGGTGGGAGACCCAGAGCAATTTGGGAAAAGGAAGCAGGAATGTGGGAATAAATTTCCCACCAACTTCACCAAAACTTACAGGCCAACAGTGCCCTCTTGGTTCCTTTCCCTCAAGGGAAGAATATACCTCCTTGCACATACTGGAAGGGAGCCTGGGACTCTAAAAGGAAACCCAGCATCTGTTGAGAACCCTTGTGAAAAACAACTCGGGCCAACAGGTTATTTATGGGAAGGAAGCATGGGCTGCTAGGAGGCTGGTTTACCTTTGCTGGCATCGGTGAGGCAAAGGTATAATGGCTGGTACTGTTAGGGAAATGGAGCAGATAAGTTAGAAATGGCTTGACAAAGGAGAAACCTTTTTGGACTCAGTAGCAGTTAAAAATGGAAAGGGGGGGGGAAAGTGGAAAGAGGAAACCTGTTGGAGAGCCCTTTTCCAAATGGTATTAGGACTCAGGACAAATAGCAAAGTACGGCTGTACAGAGCGATTGTATAAGAACACCAGGCTGAATGGACCAGTGGGGAGTAAAATTTAGTCCACCTTCTGCTGGCCATGTTCTGTGCCCCAGGACAAAGGGGGAGTGCCTCTTTCTAATTCACAGAGAGGTACCATCTTCTTGCTCAGGTGTATTCCCACTGCACAGGCCCCTATTTCTCATCTTCCCAATGGTGCCATGAACCGCTCAGCATTTCCTACCTCATTAGTAGCTTTGCCATTCTTAATCAACACTTAACTATATTTTATTGATCTGGGTTTGTGTTTCTGTCCAACCTTTATCATGGGGAAGGCCTAAGAGGACTGTTCAGGTTCTAAACTGCTGTTTTAACATAAAGTGGGTAGATAAGTGCTCTAGAGCTGTGACAAGGAGGAAGATTTGGGCTTAATATGACAGTATTAGTCCTTAAGAGTTACCCCAAGCCCTAGCTGGTTTGGCTCAGTGGTTAGAGTATTGGCCTGAGGACTGAAGGGTCCTGGGTCTGATTCCGGTCAAGGGCATGCACCTCAGTTGCAGGCCCCCAGGCTCCCTGAGGGAGGCAACCAATCAGTGTGTCTCACATCGATGTTTCTCTCTCTCCTTTCCACTCTCTCTGAAAAGCAATGGGAAAACATCCTCAGGTGAGGATTAAAAAGAAAAAAAAGTTACCCCAAGATAGAGCTCCCTGTGACAGAAGGGCTCTTCATGGATACTTGGTAGGGGGGAGTTATGAATTAGACAAGTAGGACCAGAAGTCTTTAAAAGTCCCTTCCAGTTCTAAAGCTACGTGTTATGCTCCCACCACAACAGTTCTTAAAATAGGCTAAGCAAGAGATGAGATTTCAAGTGCTGATTCTGTGCTGCTGAATGACATTAGAAGCAGGCACTTAATCTTCACTTCCCTTACATACACAAGTGATTTCACAACTCTCAGCAAAAACAGTGCTGTAAAAATAATGTTTATTGGTTAAAAAGAATACAGTCTTGGAAAAGTACCTTTCTTCCAGGATTTTAAAATAATTTTCATACTTCACTTTATTCATCCACATAGCAGATACATTGAAATGAGAAAACAGAAGACTATATGGCTTTTTATACATTTAACACCACAATATGGCCAGTGCAACCAGTCTGTCATTTTGGTGGCTCTGAAAAGGCAGAGAAGCCATTCACTCAGGTTTTCACTTCTAGCATCACTCCAATCACTGGGGAGATTTGGGGTGGGTGCCTAAGGCTTCTTTGCCATCTAATTCCTCAGGGACAGGACAGGAATTCAAGAAGGTAGCTTAAAATGTTTCAAATAATTTTCAGCATTCCACGGTGATTCTCCTAAAAGGCTCAGAGGTAGGAAAATAATGTCCTTATTCCTCTTTCTATAGTAAAGGCTTCATTTCCATTTGTGAACCAGCTGGGAATCCACTACCCGACCATCCACAAATCCCACTGAACGCACAGCATGTTGGGTTTCCACTACACCAAAGGATTTCTTCCAGCTCTACAGGCTAATCTCTAGTTGGTGGTGCCCCTTAGGGTAGACTATGGAGATGGAATCTCTTTCAGAGGCTCCCCCATAGGGAGCATTTGTTATTGCCCACGCTGGTCCTTTCTAATGTCTGGCCAGGCTCCACAGGCTCCCATTTTCTCACTCAATACAAAAAGTTTTACATTCCTTTCTTGCTTTATGTTCATCAAAGATTTCCATGCTGGTCAACTGGCTGGAACTCAAGCTTTAGTGTTTGTTTTTCTGCATAGCCCAAGCCCCGTGCAAACCCCAGCTTCCTTCTATTTTATAACATCATCCACTTTGGCCCAGGGAACACAATACCTTAAAATCCAAGGCTTACCCTCAGTAAGTGAAGGAACACCTCATTTTGGATGGACATGAGATATGCCTGTTAGGCTACCAGACTTTTTTTTAGATAGCCAAGAATGTATAGTCAAGTGAATGTTCAGTTTGAAGCAGCCTGCTAGAAAGCTCCAGCTAGTCCAACACTGTTGCCACTGTACCACACAGCACAGGACAGTCCCCTTTAGGACATACCTAGAGCCTGTGGGAAATGCTCTGAACATTTTCCTTGATGGCAAAGCACCGATTTTTGAACACAGTTGAAAGATGTCTGGAGGCAAGTCTTGTGAATAAACTGGATAGTACCATCTTGGATCCCAGATGATGGGTGGCAATGAGCCTGTGCTAGGAAGCTGCCTACTGGTTGAGGGCCATCACCAGTGAAGCATTTCAGGCATACCTGGAGCAATGGCAGCCTCACTACCAGTTCTGTTCTGAAAGAAAATCTCTCATTTAAGTACCAGGCTTAGTGCTTTATATATCATATTGCATAATTAGCTAAGAATTAGGAAACTTTCTTGAATGGAAAATACTTTATATGCACTTGATTAGGCCAAAGTGCCTCAAGAAAAATTTTACACACAAAGGAGTTCCCATCAGTTTCTTACCTGAGTGTGGACTACATGACAAACAGAGAAAGACAATAGGTACACGCTTTCCTTCTCTCAATGGAGGCTAAAATTTCAGTTGCTATGCCCCCAACCTCCTCTTCTGGTCATGTTTCTAAATTCTATAACAAGTCCAGGAAGCAGGCCATCCAGCTGTGAGAAGTGGACCCCAAAGGTATTTCCAGACTGGGAAGTCTAAGAGTTCCAGTGAAATCCTATGTCCAAGTCAGAAGATCAGTTGAAGAGCTGGAAGACTAAAATGACTGGTCCTCTGAGCTGCAGGGAAACTGGGATGATGGCACAGCCTCCTTGATCCAGGAGGCTCTGGAGGGTAGTTAACATGTCAAAAGGCACTTTGAATCCAGCTGAATTAAAAAGGGCAGACTTTCTCCTATAAAAGTAGAACTGAGCCCAGGACTGGCAAGTTTAAGGTCTTTAATCTTGGGTCAGCTCTGTGGGTCAGGAGCACTCTGGTCTCTTCACAAGCAGGCCCTTCTAACTTATCACTTCACTCACTTTCCCGGCATTCCTGTCACTGCAAGCTGTGGCTAGCTACATTTTAAGAATGTAGTTTAATAATGCCCTCAGGTGTCCTTTAAGAGAAAAGCTGCTGAGATGGACTAGCCAGACTGATCTTGAGACCCTGATATGGAGAAACCCCTGGGGCAGGCGGACTTTGGTTTCAAGCAGTCTCAGCGCTCATGGACTCATGTAAACCCCATTTCAAGTCACTGAGGTTAGGTCAATCAATGTGCTGGAAAACCGAAGTGGCTTGGAACTGCAGTGTGCAGGATGCCTTGTAGCTTTCTCAGACCTGTAGCCTAACCCTGTATTAGGAAAAATGTCCACTTGGGTGAAAGCACTGATATTCTTGGGATTTTTATTCTAAAGATCTGTTGGGAGATTATATACTCTTAGGAGGCAGGAAAGGAGAAAGAATGGGGTAGGGGAAGAGCAGATGAGAGAGGTTCATTTCATTTCCTCTGGGGACTTTTTTTCTCTTTGCAATTACAGTCCAAACAGGCAATTATTGCTGTTGAATTTCTCTTTGTATGTACATTCAAAACTGTTAAATCACATTTGGAGAGGCAGTTTTAGCATGTTCTGATAATTCTCCTTTAGGGATGAGGTTGAAAGCTGTAATTCTATAGTCCTAACCAAGGCAGGTTTTGCTGCAAGAAATCCTTGCAATTTAGTTTTGGCATTATTTTCCTAAGTCTCCTTATCTAGATAGTGTAAAGCAGTGGGGCATGACAGAAACTTGAAAAAGCATGGAAGGGGAGGGAGACATGCTTGCAAGTTGGCCTCAAAAATGAACATCTCTCACTGTGTTGGTATCAGGATTACTGGGAGAGCTTGTCAGAAAGGTAGATCCCCCACCCCCAGGACACCACACCTCCAAAGTCCTCAGCAGCTGGAGGAGCACAATTACACTTAGAAGGGACGGGGGCAGAACTGACAGACTTTGAGACAAAAAGATGAAGGAAAGGAAAGAACAAAGAAACAGCTGGAAATGAAAAAAAGATCTAGAGAAACATGAATGAACATGAGAAGCACGGTAGGAAGGAACCATAAAATAACATACATGGCTCATGGAGCTGGGTGGAGTAGCAGTGGCCAGGTATCCCAGGGCATATGAACTCAGTGAGAAAGCAGCACGCTGGCATAGGGATTCATAAACCTTGGCTCTCCCTGGAGTCTCTGCTTCTAGAACACCAAGCTAGCCAAACAAAATTCTCGAAAATTCCAAATTAGGCTGGTCAAATGGGCCAACATACAAGAAAGGATGGCTACAAGGGAGGTGGTCAGGCACAGTCCCTGTAACACCCTTTTCTAGCAGCTCTGGGTGTGTGTGTGTCAAGATCAGCCCAGACTAGTCCTGGCACCCCCAAACAAGGGGTGAGCTCCCTGGGCAGTGACTCCAGCCTGGAGGGAATGCCTTCAGCCTGGTCAGTCTCGGCTCTGGCGCTTTGCAATCTCCTCCTTGATGCGCAACTTGAGGGCCTCTTGCATGGGTGGATCCAGAGGCGTCTGTGCTGATACCTCCTCACTCACCCTTCCTGGATCATCGTCCTACGTGGAGGAAGAGTCAGGAAGCTCAGGGCCTGGCCTCTTCCAGAAAGGCGACCTGCCCTGTCCCTAGACAACTCTCTTATAGAACTCCATTTGACTCATAACTTCAAGCCAGTGCCTGTCATTTCCCAGGTATCCCCTGTAACAGTGATTCTCAACTGAGGGCCCATGAGCCGTTTCTGTTGCCGGTTGAGGATCACTGTGTGACAGGAATTGTGCTCAAGAGCACTGCCCAGCAGTTTATGCTCCCATGTGGAGCAGACACTTCCCTCTGACCCTGATGAAAACAGCGGCTTGGGGGCTGGCAGTGATTTCTACCATTTCCTAGGACCTTCAGGCTGCAGCTGTTTCCACCGGGCGTACCTGATACACGATAACTGATGTGACCTCTCCGCTGTCCGCCTCATATTCTAAGCAGAAGAGCTGATGGCCAGAAGGCTCTGGCTCGGAGCCGCCACTACTGCTGCTTTCACGGGACTCTTCACAGTCTGGGTTGCTTGGGTGGGTACAGCCATCTGGAAGGATGAACCAGAATGAGAGGGAACAGGGAAAGGCTGCTGGAGGCCCTGACCACAGAGATAAAAGCCCCAATTTTTTAAAAGTGTGCTTGTATGTGAAATGTGGTGCCAGTTTTATTTACCAATGTATCCCTGCTCCAGGGTCAGCACAGCCCTGTCACACAGTAGGTATACTATGTATATTTGTCTAGTGAATAGGTTTGAAAGGTCATAGAGAAATGCATAGAGCTCTGCCTGGGTTCAAATCCGAGCTCTGTCATTTACTAGCTCTGAGATTTTGGGCAAGGTACTTAATCTCTCTGTGCCTGTTTTTCTGATTGCAAAACATAAATAATAGTTCCTGCCTTATGGGGTACTATGATAACTATATGACTTAATGTACAGAAGACCTAACAGCACTTCAAGTAACGCCCAACAAATCTGGAGTCATATGTTAACTGCTGTGATGTCTAGGTGTCAGGGAAGCTGGGGAAAAAGGCCTTTTGATGGGTTTGGGCTTCATTCCACAACTATGTCCCTCCCGGTCGCCTACAGCTGTGCGGAGCCTTTTCTCTGTTAGATAGTGGGAAAACGAATATACAGCGTGATGGGGCAAACTGGCAGCCCACTTCTTGCTGGCTCCCAGGTATGTCCTGTACGAGTGATGTTTAACTGGGGGCCATACGCCCCCCCTGTTCTCCAGGAGGAAGCACTGAGCGGAGACTGGGGAGCGTCGCGGTGGAGGTCCAAGCAGGGAAGAGATGAAATGAGCCTTGGGGCATAAGTGATGGGTTTTTTTCCATAGAGAGAAGGGGAGTGCGTTGAGGCCGAGGGCCCGGGGCCCAGAGAGCGCGAGCTTGGAGGCAGGCGGGGCGGGCGGCCTCACCTCGGCGTCGCGGCAGGTACACTTGCAGGTCGGGCTTGCGAGGCCTCGTCGGCGCGGGCGTGTGCCGCCTCCTCGCCTTCTCCTTGGCCGCCTGCTTCACCTTCTTGTCGTAGTCGTCCCTGAGAGGGGAGCCGAGCGGGAGTCAGGGACGGCCGGGCCGGGCCGGGCCGGGGCTGGGGGAAGGGCG